GCAATATATTGGGATATATCGTATCGTGACCCCTCTGTCATGATATGCATCGTATCGCCAAATTCTTGCCAATTCACAGCCCTATTTCGTGTCACAGATTCAGTATAAAATCACTCACAGGTCGCTTCTCTCCATCTGTAGTTCCTCCGTGTTCATCTCCCTCCACACCGTTTTCCTAACATATACATATTAAAGAAGTTAAAACATGTAAATCAAAAAAATGTTTAAAAAGGTGCCTTAAGGTGGTTTTACCTGAACACAGCATATTAGCTTAGCATAATTAGCTATGTGTTATATTTCTATTTAAACAAAACTACTTTAAAAGACTTACCACTTCCCTCATGTTTGTCCCAAACTTGAATTAAAGATAATTTTCTGAGTCAGACCAMAATAAGTTGAACTTTTCCAACAGATATTAAAGACGTCCTCGCATCTCAAACCATCACAAACCTCTCAGCATTAACACCAACGTGAATCTGGCTGTTTGTAATTATGCCACAGCTGGACGCACCTGTGTTAAGCTTAATGACTGACCGCGACAACTTCCTGTATGTTGATTTTCAAAATAAAATATATATTTGTCTTCATGTGCCGCATTGAGCGCTACAAACAGCCTAATATTGAAATGTTTACATTAATTGAGTGAAAATAAAATAACCTACATACGTAAAACTATCACATATCAAAAGCTTCCACATATTCTTTCTTCAATGGTGAATTATTTTGAAGGCAAAAAGATTCTGTTTCCGGTCTTTCTCACGGAAAACTTGACAAAGCAGGTGACTGGCATGTGGTCTGAATGTGGGTGGACCGGTTGTCCTCACCCTGTTAAACCGGGCGGAGTGGTCCAGGTGTGTTATCCTGGCAATCACTGCTGGAGGATGAGGAACTCTACTCTTTAAGTAGTTGTTTAAGATTAAAGTTACACATTAAATCGCTCCGGAAAATTCAACAAAATAAGTAGTCTATTCTACTGACTGATGATGATCAAGATTTCATTGTTAACTCGTTCATATAAGCAACAAACAAATAAAAAAAATGCTGTAAAAGAAAAGAATGCAACTAACATCACTAACCTGGGGTTGTGTTAAAACTCTCCACTCCCCAGATGTCACAATAAAAACTTTTTTTTTTTTTTTTGTAATTTTGGACAAACATTTGGTTTCTGGACATTCAATGGGTCATCTCTATTTCTACACCAGCTCATGCAGCAGTTATGGACAATCCCTCCTGACATATACAATAGACATGCACAACAATTTTGAATCAGCTAAGCGTTACGTTCATGTATTAATTGACCAATAAACTGTAAAGTGTAACTAAGCATAACCCCGCCCCCAGGCAAATTTTGAAAAAAAAAAAAAAAAAAAAACAATCCAACAAAGTGAGCGATGCTACACTGAGGGGCATGGCCAAAAATGTGGGGCTGGGGTGGCGGAGGTGTGGTTCATCAGGTGGGGGGGTTGGACAGCTCAGCGATGGGTGGTGTAGGGGAGTTTCACCTGTTCCTGCATCCTATTGGCTACATTATACACTRCAAACTGCCTGTATACATGACTACTTTATGGACCTGTGTCAGGTTTAAAGGTAGAATATGTCAGTATTTAACTTCTTCTTGACCAAATGTTATATTTAGAGTAACTGTTGAATTCTATGAAAAACATTTGATGTTTTATGTTCGGTCAAAAATACCATGAGGTAAGTCAGAGACCTTTTTCACTCATGGTCAGAAGAGGGCTGAGATTGAAATTCAGCCTGATAACTAGGGCTGTGTATTGGCAAGAATTTGGCGATACGATACATATCATGACAGAGGGGTCACGATACGATATATCCCGATATATTGCGATACTGTAAGCAAGGCAATATATTGCGATTTTTTTGTCAAAAAATTCTATTAAATAAAAACCTCTTACTGAAAAAAAAGGCTAATGTTTACTTACAATGCTTACATTGCCTCCTACAATGCTAATGCTCTCTTACTCTCTGGCGCTCAAGAGGTAGAGCAGCCAAATGGCTGGTTCACTGCTGCCAACTAGTGGTCAGAGGCTGAACTACAACATAAAAATGAACGGCTGTCAGGAAAGTTGACATTTTAAACCTTAATTAAAAATCGATACAGGGCTTTAGAATATCGACACAGTATCGGGAAATGAAATATCGCGATATTTCAGTGTATCGACATTTTCTTACACCCCTACTGATAACTTGGCTTAGAGGCCGTTTATTTGATGATTATTTGATCGGATGAAAATGGGACAATAATTTTCACATGAATACTTGATTTTTAATACGGTTACTTGATTTTCAGTGTAAAAGCAGTTTTTTTTTCAACAATTAGAACCACTGTGTGAGCATGTCTTCAAAGAAACAAATAGAAACACAAATCAGTTCATCAAAGCTTATTAAACAAGCAGCTTTTCATAAAAATCAAAGCAAATATTAAGGAACAAAAACGAACCTCCAAAGTAGCTGGTACTGTTTRTTTATTYTGGGGTCCTGCTCCACTTTCCTGCTTCCTCTCCCTCCTCCTCTTCTTCACTTCTAKGACTGGCATYAAACTCCACRACTGACTCTGGGCTTTTCAGCTGCTAAGAACAATAACWGCAACAATCAGACATTGATTGTTCTTTTGCAAAGAATTCAGTGTTATAATACAAATACACAGGGCATAACTTAGGGTCTACCATGGGGTGGGGTAGGGGCTCTCTGCCCTTTTATATCTTAGTTATTGAATTATTTAATTTAAAAAACATATCAGGATATTTTGGGATTAACATAAATGCATTGCTACTGTGATTTATTTCCTCTGCACCTTTTCTGTTCCATGTCAGTTCAACAACTAAGAAACCCTGCATGTCATGGTCAGCATTTATGTTTAAACGCACATATATGACAGGTCAAAGTTATAGACGATAAGAGAGGTGCGGCTACACAACCATTTAATTTCTATTCTGTTGATGTTATTGGAGCAGGTGGGGACTGCATTGACTTGATCAAATCATTGCAGGGGTCATAGCCCCCCCCCAGCAAATTACGCCCATGCATCAGTCTCTCCATCGCAGGTAATACGTTTATTTAACTCATTTGGCTGCAGCAATTTTTTAAAACTTTTTCCCCATCTTAGTTTGTCTGCTCCATCCATCTGTTTGTCTTTTCTGACATGTTTGCCCGCTCACCTTTTCTCATCCTCTTTTATTTAATTTGGGATGGGAGGGGGCGCGCTTCTCGCTGCTCCCGCTCCACTGCAGAGCTGCTGTTTACAGGTGGAAGGTCAGTACAAAAATCCGGACTGGAGAATAACCTGGCATGTCCTTGTGTTGCAGTGAAAACGTGGAGTGGAGACAGTCAGATGACCTGAGTAGGACAGGTGTGTTCTGTCCACTAGATGGCAGAAATCCTTCAAAGACTTGGGACTGAATACAACATAGAAGATATAATAACTTAGAATAAAACTTACATATACATTCAACAATATTCCCTAAATGTTACTTCATGAAAACTAAATTACTGGTACTCCAGAACTGCAATTATATTTAAAAAATCCTTTGTATGTATTTATCCCACCCTCAGCCTGGAACAACGTACAGACAGATCTAAAACTGTCAACACTCATCTCTGTCAGATCCTTGTCGATCCTCACTGAGAACATTACAAAGAAGTTTGATCCATGCAAATGTTTCACTACTTGTATGCTTTAGTTGTTATTGTTGATCTCTCATCTGACTTCTTATTTTTGATTTTTTTGCTGTTTTGTTTGATTACGTAATCAAAAGTGTTAGATTGATTATTGTCACACTATTCACTTTTAAGAAATGAAATTCATTAGGACATAATTTGGGAATTACTTTGGTCTGTACGTCTAAATGACTGAATGTCTTCACCTTTTTTATAACAACTTGTATTTTGAATTGTTGTGCTTTAAGCACAATGTAAATCTTAACTGACACACTCTGTGACGTGTCGTGCGGACCGCTTGACCAGGTCACCCTTGTAAAAGAGATCCAGATCTGAATGAGTTTTCTACCTGGTTAAATAAAGGTTATTGATTGATTGATTGATTGATTGATTGATTGATTGATT